AAAAATAATTTAATTTGTATATAAAACGAAACATTAATGAATTACTGAGCGACCAATCGACGCTATTAATTTTTTCTCATATTGTCCTTTGCCTGCTTCAAACTTGTTTCAAGCAAGCTAGGTCGAGTCCATTATGCGTTCCGACAGTTTACGTGGCGAAGCTGCAGTTAAGCCGTAGTGCGTATGAGGCTCACCATATTTGCTGCGCATGTAGATAATGAGAGTCAGGGGATCGCCGACGCGAACTGGTCCAGCCACTCTAGTTCCAGTGGTCCCGTAACCGTATCTGATCTCCATGTAGCACTCCGGAGGCTGGAGGGTGAAGACTACGGGATTTCCCGTGGCGACCCTGGAAGAAGGTGGGTGCGTAAGAGGCAGGAAGAATGCGTATCCGTTATCTCTCGCGAGCAGTACGGCCTACTTCGCGCCAGCAGGATAGCACAGATGTTAGACATTATCGTAGATATTACGTAAACGCCTCGCGCGAAACGTTCCATCGAGTTCGCGTAATCGGAGGTCTCAGACGATAGATCACGTCGATGCTCCTCGCGTGCATTATGGAAAACGATTTCGAGCCTTTTTGATCGATATGACCATCCGTCACCACGTTTCTACGCCTCAAGTTCATCTCGGAAATGTTAATTTTTCTATATATTCGTTCATTACATTTACATTTTATTTCGAAGGCATTTTATTTCGAAGAGCATTAAAGCATCGATACTTACTCGACATCGAGAAAGGGAAATGTCACCGTCTTCCAAAAGTCGTAGCCGTACTCGCAAGTCACCTTGAAATGCTCGTCGAATTCCTCCTCGATCAATGGATTATACTGCACCGTGACCGTGTTCCACATGAGATTTTTCTGCGAAAAGAAAAGCAAGATGCACACGATCGTACAGCTCTCTGAGCGATGTCATTGCGCCTTATTTCTCACGTGAATTCACAGCGCATCATAATAGCGAGGTCTATATTCCCGCGCGCGCACGGTGCAACTCCCGTTCCTCGAGATGTGACATCTAATCTTCTCTAATTATCAAGATTAAAAATAAGCCGCCGAGAGCTGCGCTCTCTCTCTCTCTCATTTTCCCCCCGTGCCGTTAATCATTATTATTCCTTGTCGACCGGCGCCGGTGCGCGCAAAAGTAACTATCCGTCATTCCGCGCGACGCGCTCGCGCTCGTCTATTTTACGTACCGTCGGATTCTTCCTGCTGTCCTGATGATGAGTGTTCTCGCCGAGGGTGCCGCAACGATTCAGCTGAATGTAGAACTCATAGTAGTCGCGGCCCGTCCCATTAACGTACATGCAATCGGGATCGTACGAGTAGCCTGCAATTAAAAGCGATTATTCTTGATCGTCCGGGAACGCAGCCGCCTATGATACGGTCACACCGACGTCGAACATCATCGATATCTCGTCTATCGCCTCGCGGCGTTTTCGACCGCGTGAAATCTAGCCGCGCGAAGAATAGGCGGACGTGGTTGGTGCGCGTTTTCATCGCGAGCAAATGGGCGGCGGAGCCAGAGGCTTAAGTGAGGAAACGGCCGAGTACGGTCGTTAGCGCCGATGTTAGGAAGTCGAGGATTAGGGTAATCTGACTTTTTTTTAGTCGTCCCGCTAGATTCAATCAGAGGAGCACCGATGTTTTTACGAGGCTACCGCATCCGCTATTCCCGCGGAGGCGCCCCGCTCGTTATTATAAATATTGATTAACGGGCTCGTTATCGATATCGTTAGAAGAAACGCGAATTAATCGAATCGACATTGAACAGATGTAAAGTTCAAGAAGAGGTCCCCTTTCCTCGGCAAATGATTTGTGAAGAAATCACGTCACGATGATGCGGTTTTTGCCGGGGCATCGCGCTCATTGCCAGGAGGCACGGCCGCTTCTTTCGAAATAACGGAAGTATCTTACTAGAACGGACAGATGGACTTACGACGGCGAAAGAAAAATTCTGGCGCGGCCGACGTGGACGGCCGCCGATCGCTTTACGATAATTTCCGCCATTACCTCGTTAGCGCGGACGTATACTCGTCTCACTGTCTGCCGAGGTAATTGCGGATGCCAGCGATGCAGCCAGTTATGCAGCAACATATTTTAGGTGCAGGTATTATGTCGAATCTCCTGACCGCGATGGAAGCAGAACGCGCAGAACTTCTGGCACCATTACTTTTTTTCGACGCCACGCCATTCGCCATAGTTCATCTCACAATATTTACATAAATCTTGTGCCAGAAATAATCATTGTTTAACACATTGTTATTTGATTACTACTGCGTGATTAACATCGCAAAAATATAATAACATTTATCGTTGAAAGAAAATAAGCTCGTATGTAAATTGCACTATAATAAAAATATTATATATTGTGTAATTAGTTTTACCTGCTGAATACAAAAGGCCAGTGAAGGAACCATTGAATCCGATTCTGATTTTCATGTAGTCGTCTTGACATTCCGCTTCGATATCTAAAATATAAGGCGTAATTAATTATTTGAGCAATGTCTTCATCTAAAAAATTGTACAAATTCTTATTTAATATTTTACATTACATTTTATTATATGCATAATTATGTTGATTGATTAGCGCGATAAGCTCCGTCTGTATTTTCTCGTATTTGCGAAAGAAGATTCAAGAAGATCTAGGTGGAATCTTTAATATTTCGTATGTTGCGGGTTACGATCGATGTCAATCATTATGAAAGAAGACACAATCGGTGATTATCTTTTGTAAAAAAGTCATTCTCAAACAGCAAAAAGGTATTCGGAATAGCGTTACCAAATCCGGCAGGTCCGGTAATTCCGTCACTTTGAATGACGCGTCAAGTTCCGTCAAAGGATCGGAATATCGATCGGTCATCGCGTGGGCGATGTACGTTCGTGGCTGGGAGAGCCTGTCGTCACTCGCGTGTAGAAATCGGGCACGGAAAATCGCAGATTCGCGGATAGGAGCGAGTGGAAAACCGGTCGTCGATGACGAGTGAAAGTAAGTTGGGGATCCCGTATAGGCGCTCTTCGTGGTAAGAAGCCGTTTCCACTGTAGCAACGTAACCGCAAAGCGGAATGGAGATTGATGGAGGATGAAGATAGTTACACTCGAGGTGTCCGCCGATGATACAACCTTTTCGTTTCGTGACCCCACGCTCCGTCCCACGTACATCGTCATCGTAGGACGCACGATATCCTCGCGTGACACTCGAATCTCTTCGACTGACGGTATATATTTAATTGGTAATATTGTTATTTGTCACGATGAAATTGCAAGACCATCAAATCGAATTAGCACCATCCATTTCTTCGTCAAAATAAATTAAATTTTATCTCTCTAGAAACAATGCAGAATTTTTATAATAAATTTTGAATTTACTGCTGGTTTATCAATATACACAATATTTACTAATTAATTAAAAATTAATACGTCAATTTAGATTTGAATAAGTAAATGGAGAAGACGCGAGAGGAAGATCAATGTGTTGTCGCAGAGTCATGAAAAAAAATAATAAAAGATAAAGATGGGAAGATAGATTACATCAGAGGCACATACCGATGATACAATCGCTTCTTTTCACCCTCGTCCTACGCACCGCGCCGTCACGAGTGTGCCGAGCGCATTTTCGAGCGGCGTACGTACGTACGAATACGCACGCGCTTATTAGAATTGCGGATACGTGCTTTGTGTTCATCGTCCGGCAAAACTCTGTCAGTGGGCAGACAATGGGAAGAGTTGAGCAACGCCGATATTTGCCCGAACGTGCCGAGAGACGTGCCACGGAGAGGCGCGAGGGATACCATCGAAGAGGAGAGATTCCTTTAAAACTCCGATATTGCTTTCAACGTACAAATGATCGAGATTTGATTTTTGACGCTTTTATCCGCTGATCTAGATCCTCCAATTTGGAGGGAATCGTTCCAGGAGAAAGATTTCTGTATGCGTGGCGGGAAGCGTAGATCGTGTGGGAGAAGTAAAAGAGAAAGAGTTGGCAGGATGGACTTTGGATCTTGAGGACGCAAGAGAATCGAGCGGTGCTGGAGGAGGATACATTAAATCTGATGGATTCTCCTTCGCGTAATTGACGATACCACGGGTGGCCTCAAGTTCCCGCAGAGAACGAGCGGCTCGACTTTACGACTTCATTGAACCAGCGAGCTTCATATGTCGGCTTCGTAACATTCGTCATTGTCAATGGCAGGCTCATCCAAATGTTTTAGGAAATTTACCGTAGCAATGCGATCATCGATCGTCCCGTCGTCTTGAAGAGCTTGGACATATTGATCTTTTAAAAATGATATCCGCTTGATTGTACGTTGTTAATTCTTTTTAACGAAACATGCGCGTAAAATGATATATTACAGCGTAATGGAGCGTAATAGATTTATGTGAATCGCTTACAACTCAATCCTTTCGATACGCTATACTAATAAAATCATTATCTTGCGATAAAAAGAAAAGCAATCTTGTAATGTCCTGTGTACAAGCTTATATAATAGAATTTTGTAATTATAATTTTATGATTCTAATTTGGATTCTGAATCGAAATGATGAATAATAGATGATCGTATCTTTATCCTGAATAATAGGTGAATAATAGGTATTGGCGAAGCAAATTGGCGTATAACAATTTAGTTAAGAAACACGAGACGATTAATTGCGGATGATAAAAATGTAAAAAGTGGTTTAATAGACGTGCCGTTCTGGTTGAATGAGCGAGGAGAACGACGCGTCGTTAAAGCACAATTGCGCTTTCCACTACATGATCGTAATTTTCCGTAAAATGTAATTAAAGGGATTCGCGAAGGGATTAGCTCGATAGCGGCATGCGATTGCATCCCGTAAATATTATTTATTTACATCACTACGAAACACGGTGTAATCTTCTCTGGGAATAGCAGGCGGTGATGCCTGCTATGTTGATTACTCGCCATATGCACGAACGGTCAGTATTCGAGCATTCACAATAAACTTGGAGGTTTCCAGAAAAAAAATAATCGCATCATGGTGGATGAGCGCGTAACACATAGGCACTATAGGAAATTATACGCACGCGTAGGAAATTAATTTTGTTTTCGTAGGACATTGTCTATTATTCTTCTATAACGGGACACTACGTCGGCGCTTATTAATGTCTCGTTCTACTGGCATTAATTACTCGCGCACCCGCTAGACGAGATTAAAATTGAAGCATTAGCCGATTAGAATTTTAACGAGACATCATTGATTAAGCCTTCGTCTATCGCTAGAGGCGCTTGCTACGTGCGGTATTCATTGGAAAGTTAATTTAGAGATACCTATAA